TCGATAATTTGATACTCAGCATGCCTAGGCGATGTACGGACTGTATTGCATCGTCTGGGTGACATACAATGTATTAACAATCATACCAACCATGTTATATTGTTTTTTTGTAAATAGGTTTTTTTTTTTTATAATTTGCTCCAGGGAGAAAAAATCTCTAATTTTTTTAATATTATCAAACATATAGCATCTTTTTTTGCTCTTTACCTTTTGTTTAATAAATAAGCTTTACAAATAAGTCAAATTTGTTTTGCTTCTAACTCTTCCTTTGCCTGATTTTGCATTATCCTTAATTTATGGACATGAGTGTATTTCAGTTAATGTTGATGATTGCGTTGTTCCTTAATTTTCGAATTGGATCCGGCTTGTTATTTTTTGCAGACTGTAAGAGCAATACTATAAAAGTAAACTTGAACTTTCGATTATGTCAAATAGAATTTCCGATTCTGGAGCTCACAAAGGATCGAACAAAACGAAAGTATGTTTCGATGTCCATCAAACAAAAAGTGGAATTGCTGCAAAAAATGGATAAAGACATGAAGAATGTTACAGAGAGGTTAGTGAAAACGAAAAAATTTCGATTGACAAGTTAGTCGGTATTCTCGGCACAGCAATTAACGGGACTTGAACAGCGGAACTTCATAACTGAACAAAAAATTATGTTTATAGAATTAAAGAGAAAGTATTATCACATAAAATGAAGCAACTTACACAACTTAAAATTGAAAGAAATGTTTAATAAAGTAAACAAATAAATATTAAGCATTTTTTGTAAATTTTGATACCCTTTAGATCATAATTGTTCCTTATTTCATAAATTATGGTTTCATATTTTTAATTTTAGAATTTCTGCATGCCATCTTGCATGATTTAAACTGATGATCTATAATCCGGAATCGCCGAAGTCCCGACGAGTCCGGATTAACGACTTTTGACTGTGTAAGCAATTTCTTTTCATTCATTATGGCTTACGATTTGATGATGTCAGAACACGCGATGAAAGAAGAAAAAGTGATAAATTAGCTCCAATAAGAGATTTGTTTGACAATTTTTACAAAGTTGTCAGAAATTATATCATGTAGAGTAATACGTGACTTTTTAGACGAAAAGCTAGAACCTTTTCGAAGATGATGCTCCTTTTGGCAGTATATGCCCCAGAAACCTGCAAGATATGGTATAAAGATATTTACTGCAGTTGATTTTAGAACCTTCTATACTTTCAACATGGAAATTTACTCAGGTCAGCAGCCAGATGGGCCATAGAAGAGTTAACTCTCTTGGGGTTTCAAAAGGATATAATGCTACTTTCTTATATGGCTGAAAAGAACAAATGTGTTCACTTTTTGTCAACTATGCAGAATGATAACCATAATGACGAAAGCATGGGAAATTTGAAAAAAATTGAAGTAATTACATTTTATAACATGACAAAAGGAGCAGTTGATATAGTCGCATTATTCTGTGGCCAGAATATCAAACCGATGGCCTATGGGCATATTTTTTTCACTATTAAATATTGCCGGCATAAATTCAATGATCTTGCTTTTATCTACTAAATCTCCACCAGAGAAATTCAGGAATAGGAGGCACTTTTGATTTTGCCTTCGCACTTTTAGATCCTCATTTGAAATCATAAGGAATACACAGATTCTCTTGAAGATTCGCAAACATAGAAAAGAAAATTATGTTACCGGAGATGTTACATGTGCTAAAGAGAAAAAGACAGAAAATCAAAAACTGTATGAAGTGTAAAAAAAATAGATGTTAAGAACAGTGTGAAATCGAAGCTATAAACTACAAAATATCTAATTCTTCTGGAGCTTAATTGATTTGAAAATTAATTATATAACTCATTGTCCATTTAATAATTCTGCATAATATGGGTTATAACTGCATTCAAAAAAAAAAAAAAAAAAAAACACAAATTTCTCATCGAAATCAATGATTCCTAGTCATCTGAAGAAAACGTAAGTACTTTTGATTTATTTGTTATTAATTTTAAAATTAACATTATTTGGTTTAATCCTAGTATCCGGTGCACACAGGATTTGGCTCTTTTTTGGCGACTTTATGATGAGCAGTAAAAGAGGGACATATACAATCAGTAGTTAACCGCTCATTCAAAGAAAATATACAGTTAAACATAGTATATACTATGTATATAGTATATATATACATATACTATGTGTGTATATACTATGTATATAGTATATATATACATATACTATGTGTGTATAGTATATATATATATACGTTCTTTGGATCATTTTTGGTGTTGGCGATAATTTTCAAAGTCATGCCAAGGCTGCACCGTATACTAGGATTTTACCCATTATTTTTAAGCTTAATACAGAATGCATTATTTTACTGAATTGTAATAATATGTTTCATTTTTATGTCACTTAATTGTGATGCACGTCCTTCCGGATTAACTATACACTGCTAAATGTCATTATCAATCTATTTACTTTACTTCTATATGCTAAATATCTTATAACTTGACTGTGCACCGCTAAAATCATGGATTCATATGATAAATATCTTGCAACTTAACTATACACCGCTAAAATAATGGCGGATAAGCCGTTGGTGAGCTTGGCGAATAACCACGTACTGACACCAACGGATCCACTGCAAAAGCACCAACGAATACTTTGTGGAAAAAAACCGTGTTTTTGCCTAAAAAAATGAGATAATTGGGTTCATGTAGCACTCACCTAACAAAAAAAAAAGCATTTTCTCACTGTTCTGTTCCATTTACAAAATTTTCATCCTAATTCTGGGTCCTTGCAGAAACTTTACCACAGAATTGTGGAAAAATTACTCGCAAATTCTGCAAGGCTATATTTTAAAACTAAGGCAAAAAATATCATGCTTTGTTTATAAAAATTATTGGACTTTGGAATACAACAAAAAGGAATGTACACAAAATGGCAAAAGTGCTTGATTGAAGGATTATTATAAGCAGGCTTGCTGGAAGAATGTTTATGCACAATGTTGCCAAACTTTGGCATATACTGAAAATATGATAACTTGTATTATGGAGGCTGCATTAATACATAAATACCACACGCACAGAAAAAAAAAACCTTACTCCCTCATGAAATTTCGATTTCTTTGAAAGTTGCATAGTGACTTCAAGAAAATAATTCACAAATAATTTTTAAACATTCGATACTGAACACATAAGCTTGCAAAAAATCTAAATTTTATGCATTCTCAACATTAAAAAAAGCTAATGAAGAGGAGAAGAAGACTTAAATCTTACAGCTCTAAAGATAAGACCACACTTAGACACTAAGACCACAAAAAGACATATTTAATATTTTGTACTTTTTTAGAAAAATGTAATGAAAAGTGGATTACAGTGCAAAACGTGAATGAAATTTCCATTCAAATGAAAATGTTCAACATTTCAAGTTTTCAAACAATTCATGACATTACCTGAATTGGAGGAATGTGATATATATAAAAATTTCTTATTCAGAACAGTATAATCAGTGTCTCACTTTCCACTGTTCAAATATGCTGATTTAAATTTTCATTATTCATTAAATACTAAGATTAAGACAAATTTTGCTTTAAATCAGGAGCAGTTTAAAATTATTTGTGACTTATCTCGCAATCATCAGGTACTTGTCTCGTGGAAAACAAGAAATGATTTATTAATAATTGAAATGAAATGAAACACATAGAAAGACATTTCTTTATAGCATGGAAAAATCTTACTGCACACATAAGCAAAGGTTCTTGTTAATCTAACTTTTCGATAAAAAACATTAGCCTTCTTATTGTGTGTAGCTTTTAATTTTTCTATAACCCAAGTCATTTTTTATGCAGGTACCTTATAGAGTTTCTCTCTGCCGTGAGTACATATATGCCTTTTTTAATTAGATTTTTGAGAAACTGACTTATTACATACCTCACACACATAAGGTTTCTCTCCTGTGTGAATACGTATATTATCCTTTAAAGTACTTCTGCAAGTACAACGAACTTAATTACATACATCACACACACGAGGTTTCTTTCCTGTGCGAATAAGTATATGTTTGTTTAAATGACTTGTTACATACCTCACACGTGCGATATTTCTCTCCTGTGTGAAGAAGCATATGCTGTTGAAATGACCTTTTTGAGTTAATGACTTGTTACATACCTCACAAACATGAGGTTTCTATCCTGTGTGACCAAGTAAATGCTTGTTTAAATGAGCTTTCCGAATAAATGACTTGTTACATACCTCACACATATGAGGTTTCTTTCCTGTGTGAATAAATATATGTTCGTTTAAATGAGCTTTCAGAAAAAATGACTTGTTACATACCTCACACACATGAGTTTTCTCTCCTGTATGAACAAGCATATGCTTGTTTAAATAACCATTTTGAGTAAATGATTTATTGCATAGCTCACACACATGAGGTCTCTCTCCTGTATGAAGGAGCATATGCTTGTTTAAATCACCTTTTTGAGTAAATGATTTATTGCACACCACACACACATGAGGTCTCTCTCCTGTGTGAAGGAGAATATGCTTTTTTAAATTAGATTTTTCAGCAAATGACTTATTACATACCTCACACACATGAGGTTTCTCTCCTGTGTGAAGAAGCATATGCTTTTTTAAACTACCTTTTCGAGTAAATGATTTACTGCATACTTCACACACATGAGGTTTCTTTCCTGTGTGAATAAATATATGTTCATTTAAATGAGCTTTCACAATAAATGACTTGTTACATACCTCACACACATGAACTTTCTCTCCTGTGTGTAGAAGCCTATGGTTGTTTAAAATATCTTTTCGAGTAAATGATTTATTACATAGCTCACAGACATGAGGTTTTTCTCCTGTGTGTAGAAGCATATGGTTCTTTAAACTACCTTTTAGAGTAAATGACTTGTTACATACCTCACACATATGACGGTTTCTTTCCTTTGTGAATAAATACATGTTTGTTTAAATGAGCTTTCAGAATAAATGACTTGTTACATACCTCACATGCATGAGTTTTCTCTCCTGTGTGAAGAAGCATATGCTTGTTTAAAGTACCTTTTTGAGTATATGATTTATTGCATACCTCACACACATGAGGTTTCTGTTCTGTGTGAAAGAGCATATGCTTGTTTAAACTATCTTTTCGAGTAAATGATTTACCGCATACTTCACACACATGAGGTTTCTTTCCTGTGTGAATAAGTGTATGTCTGTTTAAATACTCTTTTCGAGTATATGACTTGCTACATACCTCACATATATGAGGTTTCTTTCCTGTGTGAATAAGTATATGCCTGTTTAAATCACCTTTCCGTGTAAATGCCTTGTTACATACGTCACACATATGAGGTCTCTCTGCAGTGTGAAGAAGCATATCCTTGTTTAAATGTCCTTTCTGAGTTAATTACTTGTTACAAACCTCATGCACATGAGGTTTCTCTTCTGTGTGGTTAATTATATGGTTTTTCAAACTACATTTGTAAGAAAATCATTTATTGCACATCTCAGACGCATAAGGTTTTTTCCTTTGTGTGTATAAACAAAATTCATGTTTCAGGTGATGTTTTGTCCAAATGAATACTTACATACCTCACACACACATTGTTTCTCCTGTATGTACATGCAGATGCTTATCTAAAGTACCATACTGTTTAAATGACTTGCTATGTAGATCATACACGAGGTTTCTTTCCTGTGTCAATACGTATTGAACATATGGTGTTACGGCGAACACAGAAAAATATGTAACTAAAATATATTCAAAATAGTTAATTCAATTGCGGGCTGCCTCTACCCGAGGCTGGGTGCATTATGAATGATAAAATAATCTTAATACAACAATACTTCTTTATTTTCATCATAACAGTCTTTTTTTCTTCCGAGATCAGTTTTGAGTTCTGTGTACAGGAAAATATTCAAAATACTCAGGACGCAGGTTGACGTCATGAACAGCAGCGCATCGCGCCAGTTATTACGTTAATCAATCAATCATCGCAGTCGTCAATCAAAGAAACAGTTCACTACGTCAATCAATCAAACAGTTCGGCAACCTTTGTCCTGCTTTATGCCTGTTTTGAAAGCTACGTTGCCGGCGCAATGATACTGTTAGAACACTTTGCATTTCACTGTCTTGTCAGTAGATGGCTGCACCAGTCCAATACATTGGATTGAACTTAGCATTTCAGTGGCCCGGTGATAGCTCAGACATTGGTAAAAAAATCAATTTAAATTATGAAAGAAAAGTGTAATAATTATTTGTCATTGCTAATAACTGTAATAATGTGCATTTAATTTTTTTTTAAAATTAAGTGTGTGAATTTTCAGAACATTTTTGTTTTGCTATGTTATTGTTTTTAAATTTTCATATGTAACTGTAACATTGACTAAAGAGTTTGTTGACCATGTGTTACTGTAACATTGACTAAAGAGTTTGTTGACCATGTGTTAGAGGCAAGGAGGGGTGTCTGCGATCACCGAGGCAAGCGGCAGCACGATCGCTGCGCTCCGTAAAAAAGTGAAAATATTTCCTTTCCTCTTGGTGATTATCAATTAAATTTCTTTGAAAAATGTTTTTTTCCCCTACAACACCTATATCATTCCAATGAATTTCGGCTCCGATGTTGACGAGAATAAAACAGCGGACAATGTAAGGATATACTCCAAAAGCCTGGAATTTTAAGATAAGTACTTTTCTTTCATCTAAACTAAATCAAATTTCTTTAAATAAGTGCATTTAAATCAATAAATCTTAATTTTTCATCAGTTTAAAGCATTAAAAAATACTTGAAATTGCCATTGCTTGTGGCTTCCTTTGTGTATCAACTCCAAACAGACGCCAGCGTTATCAGTTCACGTCTGTCAACACTTACAAAGCCCTTAAGGAATCTCGAGAGAGGGATAATTTGGGCATCGCGCTATTTCCCTCTCGGATCTTCTGGATTCTCATTTCTTTCTAGATCGCTTGAATATAGTTTCGCCTTTAAAAAATATTATACCTCACCGACTTTTTCTCATACTGTTCTTTGCTATCTGTTAAATGTCCATATGTAAGGGATGGTTTATTCTTCACCGCCTTAAATGAATTCTTAGAACTATGAGCTTATATAAATAACAGTGTGCCTCATTGTGTTATACTAACATTATTTAACTAGTAATAAATTATGATAGGTAAAATAATTAATCTTGTAATAAATTATGATAGTTAAATTAATAAATACTGTTTAATTTGTGTTTTTAATACATATACTCAGTAATTTACACACACACACACACACACACACACACATATATATATATATATTTTTTTTTTTTTTTTTTTGGTGTGTGCGATTGTGGTCTTGTATTGTATATATTGTATATGGTTCTCTGTTGTTAGTCTGATGCTGTTTTTTGAAAAATGTATGAAAATGTTGAGAATGAAAGTAGCATAAGTTACTTTGGTTAAATTAATATATACTTTTGTTTGATGACCTTTGTTGATATCTCAGGATGCAAGCGTACATATTACTTTATATTCCATGCTAAATACCTTGATACGAAGCATTTTAACACCGTCAATAATTGTTTTTTCCCCAGTCACACATCTATTCACCATTACCAAACACACTCACTACACAAACACACATGTGAGACACTATTTATTGTAAATGAAGACAGTTTCTTCTCCTTTTAACTACACTCATGGACACAATCGTATTTTAGGATATTTCCTACTTCTTTTCCTTTTCATTCTAGAGGCCTTTTTTTTTCCCTCTATTATTTTTGGGCCATTTATTTTAAATTTTATTTTGTCCCATCTTTTCTTTCTGGCCTTTTGAACTCGTACAAATGTACGAAGTTCCTTTTTACTCTCCTCAAATACGAAATTGCCCCCTTTCTATATACCTTTCCTTCGCACCTATGCTTGATTTTTCGCCCATCGGTGCAGAAAGACTTAGCGGGTGCAAAACAAGACATCTGTCTACTTTGTCTGTCTGTCTGTCTGTCAGAAAGGCTGGCGCTGCGATCACGAAAGCTGGAGGCAGTGTCTAAACATAGCTCCGAAATTTTTTAAATAAGTGTTTCAGTAAATGTTTTCAACTCTCTAAAAAAGTTTAATGCACCTTTCCTATGCAATGTCTCATTCATCAAATTGAAAAAAGGAAACTTCGCTTCTTCGAAACTTCAGATGTTTTGTTAGCTGTTCACTATCAACACGAGAAATCCAAAAGAGGCCCTGACACGGAATATTCAGATAAGTAACATTCTGTTCTCTATACAATATCTGTTTCTCTATCACTAGAGTGCCATTAAATTTCTTTATTTATTATTTTTCATAAGATTCTAGCATTATACAATAGTTAGTAATAGTAGCAAGTCATGTGGTTCTTTTCTTCGTAACTATTCCGTAGAGACGCCACATTCCTTATCAGTAGTCCGTTCTTATCAGCAATTCACACCCTTCGGAGGCCCCCCTTTTCGTGCTTAGGAATTTCTTGAGAGGGAAAAATGGGGATCTCTTGACCATCGATGAGTATAGATTGTGATTTTTGTAACTAAGATCCCCGACTTTTTTTTTTTTTTTTTTTCAGGTATCAAACTTAGAATTATGAGCAAATATAAATACAGTGTGACGGAATTTGTTAAACTTGTACTATAATAAATTACAACGGTTAAATTAATAAATTAATTTTATATTTAACTAATATTTAAGAAAAATAAACTGTATAATTTATTTTTGCTGAAATGCTCTCACACTGTGTATGATGGATTTATGATTTTGTCAATTACTGTTTTTCTGAAATATACATGAATTTTTTGGGAACGGTAATAGTTAATGTTACTTTAGTTAAAATATTATGTACATGTCTGTGATCATATATGTCTTTTCTAGTTAGGTCTCAAGCTAAGGGCATACACATTACCATGTACTTTTCCTCTTCGCACCTATGCCTGATTTCTCGCTCATCTGTGCAGAAAGACTTAGCGGCTGCAAAACAAGAGATCAGTGTACTTTGTCTGTCTGTCTGTCTAATACTTGATATGAAGTTAGTAAAATCTGGCAACGACCATCTATAGTAAACTCAAGCGCGGTGCTTGAGTCATTTGCTGTATGTTATTTATTTTTAATTTATCTTCCTTGTTGCATTTATTTTATTTGTTTTTCTCTATGGCCAGTCCTCCTGTGATTATCATCCTCTTCAGCAAGCTTGTTCATAAACTGTAATATCAAATGTCGGTGCTGAAAAGCGTCCGGTCCAATGAATATGTGTCCGTCAAATAAACGTAAATTGGCGCCTGAATTATGTTTAAAAGGACAAGTATATTTCATTTGGTCAACTTATCAAAATCTGCAGGAGTTACAGAACAAAATTTCTTTACTTGGCGGTAAAGTAGATGAATTTTTCAGCCGCGATATTACAACCGTACTTGTTGAAGATATTCATCTTTTAGGATATCAGTTCACACCTTGTGAACTGTCTTCAAAGCCATCGTACAACCCCAGCGGGGTAGTTGCACCTGCAGGCTTCAGCCCGGGCGGATTTTTTAACTTGCCGTCAACATCCAGAGGTTATAGTTTACTTCCAAATAATTATAATTCTCCATATCGCGTTATATGTAATGCTAGACAATGGGGTATTCAGATCTTAGGAATCACTCAGTTTTTATCTTGGATTGATCCGCATGTAAAATCCATCGCGCACCAGAAAAAGAAGAAAACTGAAAGTTTTGCCAACCTTAGTGGGTGCTATGTGAAATTTGAAAGCTGCCAAAAAAAATATCGACCATGTTACAAAATGTTTAATAATAACCCAGAGTATTTAATGCCATTAAAAAATGCAAATATTTTAGTGAAACCGGATACTTGTAATGTAATATTAGATCAGCCGTCTGGACAAAGGCAGTTGTATTTCAATCATATGGACAGTAAAGATTATGTGAGAGATTCAAATGTTCTGTTGAATGCAGGAGAGAAAAAAGCTGTTAATGCCAGTAAGCTGAAGCCCAAAGAAGAAAATAATTATTGTGAATGCTGTAGGACGCACTTTACTGATTTAAAACTTCACATTAGAAGTGTCAAACATCAGACTTTTGTTTCAAATGAAAAAAATTATGAAAGTGTTCATAGCATACTAAAAATGTTACCATCAGCTCAAGAATTCATTGAAAAGCATAAAAAAACAGCTCATGAAGCTGATTTAGTTTTCCAAAACAGTGATTTACTACAAGAATACAAAGAAGACATGACTGTGGTTGATTTTTCCATGCCGCTTAATTTGCAAGTGAAAAAGCATGATTCACCACCGCCACTGAACCTGAACAATAATAAAATGGAGGCATCTACTGCATCTTTTAATGCAACAGTAAAAAATGAGGAGTTAATCTTTCCTCTTGACTTACAAATGAAAAAGCTCAAAGAAATTAAAGAGGAATCATATCCTGTTAAGCGAGAAGCTACTGATGATCAAAATATGATAGCTTGTAAAACTGAAAATATTTTACAGCCTAAAGTTGAGTTAGCCAATAATGCAGACATAATAGATAAATTGGACAACAAAGAGTCAAACTGTAATCCAGAAATATCCGAGGAATTGCCAACGAAAGGTGCCACCATCGATTCAATGTTTGACAAATCTAACTGTGCAGATTTGGCACAATTGTGTCTAAAGAATTTTGACAGTTATTGGCTTGATAATTTACCTTGTGAAATGGACGATATTATGTTTGATGATAATATCTTTGATTTTGATGATGGGAAACAGAAACTAGAAGAAGAACCTAATAAATGTTTACAGCCACTTGAAAATTGTACTTCCACTGATATTGCTCAATCCCCATCTGTGAACTTTGGCATTTCTGCCTCTTGTTTTAAAATGCAGTGTAGCACCACAAATGCTTCCACGTTTTTTAACAGCTCAATGAACGTAAAAGATACAAAAAATGGATCAGACAAAGAATGTGAGAACTATCTTTCTTCATGCAGAGTTGAAGAAGATGCTAAAGAAACATTTTTACCGATGAATGTGACTATGGGTTTGAATCAATCACTGGTCGATACAAAGAATTTTAAGCTCAGTAACTCTTTTGAAATAAAACAAAATCCGTTTTACGAAAAGAAAGCAAACACTGATCTTCGTCCATCGTTCTCCTGTGTCATGTCTGAAAAGATGTCAGAACAAATGTTTTCTAGTGACAGTTCCAATGATGAGGATGGAAATGTGCTAATAAGTAATGCTTTGAATATGATTGCAGATAGTGACAGTGATAATGATTCTATTTCAAACTGTGTTAATGCTTTCAAGAAGCATCAGAAGGAAAGTCTTGCTAGTGTAAGTATCGAAATCAGTGTTGTTTTGTATATATCATATTTAAGTAATGATTTTTTTTAAGGCCAAACCACACATCTGGCAGCATATTTTTTGGGTTTGTTTCCCCATGCTTTTGGCTTGATACAAGATGTTCCACTACGAATGCTTTGGTTATAGATTTTAAGGTTTTTGCTCCCTTTTTACTAAAATCTGATTGATATTTAATAATTTATTATTCTTTTATCAAATATACAGGTTTTTGAGGAATTCTTCTGTTATCAGGGGACCGGATTCAGAAATGTATGAATATATGTGTTCATGTACGAACATATGTATGTGCATGTACATAATACACACACATGTGCACATACATACATTTCTGAATATGACCCTTTTATGATCTTTTAAAGGTTTTTAATATTTAGCCTTTACTCAGTGATTTTCAGCATAATTTTCCTGTTTAAATTTTATTTGATCCGAACTGTTAATAGTATGTACATATGTACTTTGATTCTATGGTCTGCTACATTTAAAGGTACTTAAAACAAAAATTTTCTGACTATAAAAGTATAAGAAAATTACAAAATGAAATTAATAGATAGTATATAGTAAAATTTAGATAGCTGATTATTTATTGATATATTTTATGCCAGAATCATGTTAGAGGAAATCAATTCAGTAGTCTGAATTGTGCATTATAATATGAATTTAAGTCAAGCTGGTGTTCTTTTAATATCACATCGCTGTGTAGGGTTTTTTACATTTAAGTTTGGCTACTATGTCTTGTAAATCACATTGGTACTTTCTCATTATCTGCAGTGCCAGTTTGTAGCATTAAATTTCTTGTAAAGTTTTAAGCTATTTGAAGCTGATCTAAAATATACCTAATTGGCGTTTAAACATTTTATGATACTGCACCACCAGTTTACAGCATTAAATTTCTTGTAAGGCTATGAGCATTTTGTAACTCATCTAAAAAAACATACACCTGATTGTCTTTACTTATTTAGCGATTGAAATATACGGCTAATCTTTCGAATATGGTAACAGATAGTTTGGCGACATTTTGGTAAGGCGATAAAGGTTACTTGCTAGGACTTTAGCAGTGTACATGGATAAAGTCAAGAGTGGCGAATGCCCTTTTTGCAATTCGAATGCTTTTTGGCCGCTTTCGTATAGCCCCCCGAAATTTTAAACAAACAAAAAAAAAAAAAAAAATCGCCAAGACGGGATAAATGATATGATCTGTAACCCATACTATTCACCAACGCAATGTAACAGAGGCTGGAATTACGGTCAGCTAATTTAGTAGTCAGTTAATTATTCAATTTCAACACAATTACCAATATATTTACTCAAAGTTAATGCACGTGCCTCTATTCCTACTTTTACAGTAGAGATTCTTAAAAATTTGTCTCACGTGCGTTGCAGGAGGAAATACACTTTTAATTAGATTCTCTAATTAATCTAAATACACAATTTGTAACACTGTATTGCGATTTTTTAACGCTCAGATACCGTGACTATATTTTTATATATTTTTTTGGCTACTTGCGGTGAGATTTTTTTGCGTTTAGTTATTGCTTGCTCTCAACTGCTGTTAGTGATGTTGTAAATTAGTATCAGGAGATTATAAAGGAAATTTAAGGTGGAATTTTCAAACAGCGTAAATTTTGGGAACAGATATTTTATGTATGAATTAACATCGAGTAGAACTTTTTAGAGGATTTTTGAGGATTGTCGATTCTGAAGGATATGTGTTCTGGAAAAATGTAAGATACCTGCTGGTGTTAGTCAGAAAAGTCATCGAATGGTAGTATTTGCCAGAAAGTATGCTGAAATCAATTAGCTAGGATCTTGATTCGCCAGTAGTAAACTCGATTTTTCTAGAAACTTTTTTTTTTTTTTTTTTTTTAACACCGCGAATCAATGGAGTTGCTTATGCGCGAATTCAGCATTCTCCAATTCTTAATGAAGCAGTTCTAGTATATGAGCAAAATAAGTTTTATTTTAGAGTTATTCAATTTCTGATTTTTAGTGAACGGATCACTAATACAGGGCAAAGCCAATCAGTGCACAAGCCGAGGTTATGCGGCGGTGCCTATTTGTGCAATTCTAGATGTTTTTTTAAGTGAAATAGATCTATTGTACATGGGCAAAGCCAATGTATGCCAAGCCGAGATGTGCGCGGTGCCTGTCTCGCAATTCTAGGATTTTTTTAAGTCTCAATAATAATAAATAACTTTTCCTTTTATTATAATACGTAAAAAAGGTACTCTTTATTATAATACGGTAAAGTAACTTTACTCTTTATTATATACGTAGTGTTGCAATGTAATCGCACTTGATATATGAGTTCTTGATAATACAGTGTCTCACAAACTGATGGGACACTTGTGCTTTACAGAAGGAAACTGTAATAAAATTAATTTAAAAAACATGTAAATTTTGTGGGGTGTTTATACTTAAATTAGTAAACAATTTTAATACATACTTTCTCAAATATAATTTAATAAATAAATTGTTAGACGGAGCAAAATGTTCACAAAAGTGATGGACACCATTAGATACTACTACCGTCTAAGAATAAAATATTTTGTGGTTTTTATTTTACTCAAAAGCAATGGCTAATAATTTATAAATCGTCTGCAGTATTTCTCTTCAGTTTGTTTTGGATTTTTGTTTTTTTTATCTCTGTGCAGCCATGAATGCTAAACGAAAAGACTTTGCCTGAAATTCGAAAATAGTTATTAATTTGATATTGAACGGAAAATTATTAGAAGCTGAGACAATTACAGAGTCATTCAACAGTTTTCAATATCATTAAACGAATAAAAGAATCAATATGATCAGGATAAAAGAAGACTGGCCGACCATCAAAGCTATCCAATGGAATAGCGAATATCGTTCGAAATATAAAAAAAAATCCAAGAATGAGTGCTCCTAAAGTTACTGATTTTACAGCATTATATGGAGTTTGTTAATCCTGAGACTATTGGAAGAGTATTGATCTGCTGGATATCACGGTAGAGAAGCCAGGAAAATTTCGTGAGTGAAAAGAATAGAAACCTCAGAATGGCTTTCGCAAATAAACATAAATAAGAATTCTGATTACTGGAATGAAGTTATTTGCTGATTAGAGTAAATTTAATATATTGGATTCTGACGGTAGATCTTGGTGTGGAGAAAACCCAGGGAAGATTTCGCGACACACCATTTTTAAAACAATAATTAATCGGTGCATCAGAAAATGGGGTTAAAATCACCCAGAAAGCAAAAAAAATTAGTCGAATTAACCAAGAATTAAATCATGTTTTAAAAGTAAAAGGAAATCCAAAATATAAACCTTTATAAGTAAAATTTTGGATAAATATTGATGGAAAAGTGTGTCCCATCTCTTATGTGAGCCATTTTTGCTCTGTTATAAACAATTGTAGTTTTATTAAATTATATTTTAATATTTTGAAAAATGTATGTTATATAATAATTTTACTAAGTTAAGTATGAAAAACACCCCACAAAAAATTTTTACATGTTTTTTTAATTTATTTACTACGTTTCTTTGTAAGCCAAGGTCCATATTTTTGTGAGACACTATGTGTTGTGTATGTGAAGCTGGGTTGAGCTTTACATTATGGTAACTTGGCTTTTTTTGGCGAAAATTTGGCGACCAACTCTCCTACAGCAACCCTCTATTTTTTTTTCCCGCCGCCATTTTGTCTTCACGAAGTAAAGACATGTTTCTTTTCTTTTTATCTACTGAACACTTCTTCCAACAATCTACTAGGCGAATCACACTTATGCTAGAAATTTTATCTAACAAAACTGCTTAATCATGACAAATATTCGCTGCAAAATTGGGAAAAAGTGCACAATACCATACTCCTTACGCGTTTTTCAAAATAACACATACACATAAACCATGTACACGCCGACTTATTTTTACTTAAAAAAACATCCCAGAATTGCACAAAATGGCATTGCGCACACTCTTCACTATATCCATGTACACTGCTTTTTTTCTCATAAATTAAAAAAATTTCACGAAAATACATGACAATTTTCTCAATCTTTAAACCCAGTAAAAAGAACATATATGAAATTACCTGATCGCAAAAAAGTGTTTACCCTTTCCAAATATGAACATTTCCACATATAAAATAAATAAAATATCCACAAACTTTTACCTCTAAATCATCTATTACATTATACACGTCACCAACGAATTCATACCGCAAACATTACAAATACTTAGTATCAAATATTTAAATTATTTCCATGCACGTTTACTTCAACTTAAACGTATACCAAATTCCTACAAACATAAAATTCACAAATAACTATCATTTAATTAAATATCACTAAACCATGTACACGTCGACTTATTTTACTTAAAAAAACATCCCAGAATTGCACAAAAATGGCATTGCGCACACTCTTCACTATATCCATGTACACTGCTTTTTTTCTCATAAATTAGAAAATTTCATGAAAATACATGACAATTTTCTCAATCTTAAACCCGGTAAAAAGACATATATGAAATTACCTGATCGCGAAAAAGTATTTACCCTTCCAAATATGAACATTTCCACATATAAAATAAAATAAAATATCACAAAAACTTTTTACCTCTAAATCATCTATTACATTATACACGTCACCAACGAATTACCGCACCATTACAAATAACAAAAGTGAAAATAGGTCGATGTTGTACATGGATAACCGTGTGTGTGCAATTCTTAAAAACGCAGCAAGCAGTGGCGATTCTGCACTTCTCCAGTTTCGCACTAATCTTCGTCATGATTAAGCACTTTTGTTCCATAAAGTCTAGCATAAGCGTAATTCGGCTAGCAGATTGTTGGAAAAAAAATGTTGAGTAAAAAAAAAAAATGCCCTTTACTTTGTGAAAAACAAAATGGCGTCCAAAAAAAACAAAAACTAGCAGGTTTCTGTAGCAGGGTTGGTTGCCAAAAAATCGCCAAGTTACCATAATCCAAAATTAACCAAATATGCTA